CTTTGATTTCTTCTTGAGCTGATTCTGTTCTAGGTTCAGATTTTTCCTTTGCACCAGACGTTGCTTGTGTTGGAGATTTTCCTCTATCATGGAAAAAATCTCCGGTAAGTGACATTTTGCTTATGTCTGACGAATATGGTACAGACGGTTCATCTGCCTCTTCTGGTTCATCTTTTAACTGAGTTGAAATTTCTTCTTCCTGTGTTGTGCTTTTGAGTTCATGGACAATACTTATATCTTCTTCTTGCGACGTCGATAAAGAGGTTACAACTGTCTCTTTTGGTTTATCTAATATCTGATTTTCTTCTTTTACAAAATGTTTGTCTCCTGTCTGGCTAGATAGTTCATTTTCCTGAACTTTTCTTTCCATTATTTTTGATCTAGCCATCTTATCCTGCAACGACTCTGATTTTCCTCTTTCAGTAGATTTTACTTGAGATGGAACTACACCCTTTTTAAGTGATATTATTTTGCTGGGAAATTTGCTTTTAGATAATGATCTTCTTTCCTCAGAAGGTAATCGCCTTGTTGTTGATCTTTCTCTCGAAGCAGATGCCTTTGATTTTCTTCTTGAAGCTGATTCTGTTCTAGGTTCAGATTTTTCCTTTGCACCAGATGTTGCTCGTGGTGGAGATTTTCCTCTATCAGGGGAATTATCTCTGGTAAGTGACGTTTTTCTTATATCTGACGAATATAGTACAGACGGTTCATCTGCCTCTTCTGGTTCATCTTTTAACTGAGTTGAAATTTCTTCTTCCTGTGTTGTGCTTTTGAGTTCATGGACAATACTTATATCTTCTTCTTGCAAAGTCGATAAAGAGGTTACAACTGTCTGTTTTGGTTTATCTAATATCTGATTTTTTTCTTTTATTGGACGTTTATCTCCTGTCTGGCTAGACATTTCACTTTCCTGAACTTTTCTTTCTATTATTTTTGATTTACCCATCTTATCCTGCAACGACTCTGATATTCCTCTTTCAGTAGATTTTACTTGAGATGGAACTACACCCTTTTTAAGTGATATTATTTTGCTGGGATATTTGCTTTTAGATAATGATCTTCTTTCCTCAGAAGGTAATCGCCTTGTTGTTGATCTTTCTCTCGAAGCAGATGTCTTTGATTTTCTTCTTGAAGCTGATTCTGTTCTAGGTTCAGATTTTTCCTTTGCACCAGACGTTGCTTGTGTTGGAGATTTTCCTCTATCATGGAAAAAATCTCCGGTAAGTGACATTTTGCTTATGTCTGACGAATATGGTACAGACGGTTCATCTGCCTCTTCTGGTTCATCTTTTAACTGAGTTGAAATTTCTTCTTCCTGTGTTGTGCTTTTGAGTTCATGGACAATAGTTATATCTTCTTCTTGCGACGTCGATAAAGAGGTTACAACTGTCTCTTTTGGTTTATCTAATATCTGATTTTCTTCTTTTACGAAATGTTTGTCTCCTGTCTGGCTAGATAGTTCATTTTCCTGAACTTTTCTTTCCATTATTTTTGATCTAGCCATCTTATCCTGCAACGACTCTGATTTTCCTCTTTCAGTAGATTTTACTTGAGATGGAACTACACCCTTTTTAAGTGATATTATTTTGCTGGGAAATTTGCTTTTAGATAATGATCTTCTTTCCTCAGAAGGTAATCGCCTTGTTGTTGATCTTTCTCTCGAAGCAGATGCCTTTGATTTTCTTCTTGAAGCTGATTCTGTTCTAGGTTCAGATTTTTCCTTTGCACCAGATGTTGCTCGTGGTGGAGATTTTCCTCTATCAGGGGAATTATCTCTGGTAAGTGACGTTTTTCTTATATCTGACGAATATGGTACAGACGGTTCATCTGCCTCTTCTGGTTCATCTTTTAACTGAGTTGAAATTTCTTCTCCATGTGTTGTGCTTTTGAGTTCATGTACAATACTTATATCTTCTTCTTGGGAAGTCGATAAAGAGGCTGCAACTGTCTCTTTTGGTTCATCTAATATCTGAATTTCTTCTTTGACGAGATGCTTGTCTCCTTTCTGGCTAGATAGTTCATTTTCCTGAACTTTTCTTTCTATTATTTTTGATCTACCAATCTTATCCTGCAATGACTCTGATTTTTCTCTTTCAGTAGATTTTACTTGAGATGGAACTACACCCTTTTTAAGTGATATTATTTTGCTGGGATATTTGCTTTTAGATAATGATCTTCTTTCCTCAGAAGGTAATCGCCTTGTTGTTGATCTTTCTCTCGAAGCAGATGTCTTTGATGTTCCTCTTGAAGATGATGCTTTTTTAGGTTCAGAAATTTCCTTTCCAGCAGATGATACTCCTAGTGGAGCTTTTCCTCTATCAGGGGAATTATCTCTGGTAATTGGCGTTTTTCTTATATCTGACGAATATAGTACAGACGGTTCATCTGTCTCTTCTGGTTCATCTTTTAACTGAGTTGAAATTTCTTCTTCCTGTGTTGTGCTTTTGAGTTCATGGACAATACTTATATCTTCTTCTTGCGACGTCGATAAAGAGGTTACAACTGTCTGTTTTGGTTTATCTAATATCTGATTTTTTTCTTTTATTGGACGTTTATCTCCTGTCTGGCTAGACATTTCACTTTCCTGAACTTTTCTTTCTATTATTTTTGATTTACCCATCTTATCCTGCAACGACTCTGATATTCCTCTTTCAGTAGATTTTACTTGAGATGGAACTACACCCTTTTTAAGTGATATTATTTTGCTGGGATATTTGCTTTTAGATAATGATCTTCTTTCCTCAGAAGGTAATCGCCTTGTTGTTGATCTTTCTCTCGAAGCAGATGTCTTTGATTTTCTTCTTGAAGCTGATTCTGTTCTAGGTTCAGATTTTTCCTTTGCACCAGATGATATTCCTGGTGGAGTTTTTCTTCTATCAGGGGAATTATCTCTAGTATATGACGTTTTTCTTATATCAGACGAATATGGTA